TGAGGGTGGTGAAACACTGGAACAGGTTGCCCAGAGAGGTAGTGGAGGCCCCATCCCTGGAAACATTCAAGGCCAGGTTGGATGGGGCTCTGAGCAACCTGATCTAGTTAGCGGTGTCCCTGCTCACTGCAGGGGAGTTGGACTAGATGACCTCTAGGGGTCCCTTCCAACCCAAAACATTCTATGATTCTATGATTCTATGATTCTATGACCACTAAACCATGTCACTAAGCACCTTGTCTATCTGTCTTTTAAATACATCCAGGGATGGGGACTCAACCCCTTCCCTGGGCAGCCTGTTCCAGTGCCTGATAACCCTGTCAGTGATGACATTTTTCCTAATGTCCAATCTAAACCTCCCCTGGTGCAACTTGAGGCCATTTTGTCTCGTCCTACTGCTTGTTACTTGGGAGAAAAGACCAACACCCACCTCGCCACAACCTCCTTTCAGATAGTTGTAGAGGGCGATAAGGTCTTCCCTGAGCTTCCTCTTCTCCAGGCTGAACAATCCCAGTTCCCTCAGCTGCTCCTCATCAGACTTGTGCTCCAGACCCAGCTTAGTGTCATCTGCAAACTTACTGAGGGTGCACTTGATCCCCTCGTCCAGGTCATTGATAAAGATGTTAAACAGAACTGGCCCCAACACTGAGTCCTAGGGAACACCACTTGTGACCAGCCGCCAACTGGATTTAGCTCCATTCACTGAATTTGGGCCTGGACATCCAGGCAGTTTTTTACCCAGCAAAGAGTATGCCTGTCCAGGCCACGGAAGCCAATTTCTCCAGGAGAATGCTGTGGGAAGTGGTGTCAAAGGCTTTACTAAAGTCCAGGTAGACAACATCCACAGCCTTTCCCTCATCTGCTAATCAGGTCACCTTGTCATAGAAGGAGATCAGGTTAATCAGGATCTGCCTTTCATAAACCCATGTTGACTAGGTATGATCTTCTGGTTGTCCTGGATGTGCTGTGTGATGGCACTCAAGATGATCTGCTCCATGACCTTCCCCGACACCGAGGTCAGGATGACAGGCCTGCAGTTTCCTGGATCCTCCTCCAGCCCGTCTTGTAAACGGGCGTCACATTTGCCAACCTCCAGTGAAATGGAACTTCCTCAGTCAGCCAGGACTGCTGACAGATGATGGAAAGGGACTTGGTGAGCACCTCCGCCAGCTCCCTCAGTTCTCTTGGGTGGACCCTGCTGGGCCCCATAGACATGTGTGTGTCTAATTGGCCGAGCGGGTCACTAACCACTTCCTCAGCTTTGTTCTGCTCCCTGTCCCTCCCTTATGGTTCAGGGGGCTGAGTACCTGGAGAACAGCTGACTTTACTGTTAAAGACTGAGACAAAGAAGATATTAAGTACCTCAGCCTTATTCTCATCCTCTGTCACTATGGTTCCCCCTGCATCCAGTAGAGGATGGAGATTCCTTGGCTCTCTTTTTGTTATTAATAAATACATTTATAGAAACATTTATTATTATCTTTCACAGAACTGGCCAATTTAAGTCCTAGCTGGCCTTCAGCCCTTCTGATTTTCTCTCTGCATGACCTCACAACATCCTTGTAGTCCTCCTGAGATGCCTGCCCCTTCTTCCAAAGGTCATAGACTTTCCTCTTTTTTTCTGAGATCCAGCCAAAGCTCTCTGTTCAGCCAGGCCAGTCTTCTTCCCTGTTGGCTCATCTTTTGGCACATGGGGATGGTCTGCTCTTGTGCCTCCAGGATTTCCTTCTTGAAGAGTGCCCAGCCTTCTTGGGCTCCTTTGCCCTTCAGGGCTGCCTCCCAAGGGACTTTGTCAACCAGGATCCTAAACAGGTCAAAGTCTGCCCTCCAGAAGTCCAAGGTAGCAGTTCTGCTGACCTCTCTCCTTAATTCTCCAAGAACTGAGAATTCTATCATTTCATGATTGCTGTGCCCCAGGTGTCCTGCACCCATCACATCACCCACAAGGCCTTCTCTGTTCACAAACAACAGTCCAGCAGGGTACTTCCCTAGTGACTTCCCTAGTCCTGCTGGCCACACTATTTGATACAAGCCAGGATGCTGTTGGCCTTCTTGGTCACCTGGGCACACTGCTGGTTCATGTTTAGCTGGCATTTAATACTGACAACTGCGCAGAGACATTTTTATGAAAGCTTTGCATTGGATTTTGTCAGAAACATGTCTGCTAGGAGGTGATCACTTTTGGAAGAAGTACTCAATGTATAAGGCAAAGAAATTTGCCGAGTGTGGCTAATTGAGAGAAAATAATTTTGGGTAAGTGAAAGTGCTACATCTGTTAAGCAAGGAGAATTAGAGGGCATAGTGTTTAAATCACAGCTGGACTCAAGTATCTCCAGAAGCAAAAAGTTTCAATCCTATAACCAGCATCTACTATTTGGGGAAGAGGGTCTTGATGAGGTATGTTGGTTACTGAAGATTAGCATAAAAACAGTCAATGTAATCAGCCTCATTTAACATGCCAAAAATCAATCCAAAGACTAAATAGTGTTGATTGGAGATCACAGAAAGTTGCATCATCCCACAGCCTGAGCGTGCTTTTTATATGTACAGCTTTTAATACAGCTGGTCACAAAATTTCTATCCCTCTACCACTTAATTTCCATCACAGACAAATTTGTCAATGCACATGCATAAATTACACATGAGAAATTGGCTGGAAAATGATACAGCATAGATAAAACATGTTATAAAAATATCTTCCTGACTCCAGAACTCTAACAGATAAAAAAAAAAAGACATGCAAAATAATGAAAGAAAAGACCACCTCACGATCAGATACTGATATACCCATATTTTGTAAGCTGTAGTAATACAAGAAAGTAGTATGTTAGCAATGAAATTATCAGCAAAGAATATCTCAGTGTTTAGTTCCTTGGCAAACATACGAACCTGATGGACGTTTGAGGAAGGTTGGCTAGAGCCTTCCTCATAATAACGTATTTCATACCCAAAAAAGGCTTACAGATCATCCTGGCATGCACAATTCATGCTCCGTGAGCACAATCACAGGTCCATGGCTTGTCAGAGCCCCACAGGTGATGGATCACAGAAGGAAGACCCAGCACAAGGGCATCCCGCGGTCCTCACCGGAGGCAGATGCTGGAGGAGCCGCTCTTACCTGTTTTCGTGTCCCTGCAGCTGCAGGGGCTGCGGAGGCGGTGGCTGGGTGACGGGGCTGTGCTGGGCGACGGGGCTCTGCTGTGCCAGGGGACTCTGCTGGGCCATGGGGCTGTGCTGCTGGGCCAGGGGGCTCTGCTTCTCTGAGCTGGGGGCCGAGGCCGGGCTGTTCAGCTCTGCGTAATGGGAAGCTGGAGATTAAAGACCTGTCACAGCGCGGCATTTAATAAAGGGCAAAGGTAGACAATAATCATTTTTGGTCACACGCTACCTCTGAAAATTTATGCTTTGTCGCTTTTACTCTCTTGGGTTATAATTAGATTTTAAGACACCTGAACCTAATGGGCTCCTTTTGATAGTCTGTGGGATCTGAAATCTTAGTCACTTCTATAACTCCAGTTGACACCTCCATTATTTAAAATCCAGCTGAACAAGGCAAATGGCTTCTGTGTTTCATGTTTTCTTTTAAAGCCTAGAAATACTGATATTTGAAAACTTTTCATTTTGAGAGAATGAATGATTTTATTGCTTTCACCACTGTTACTGGATGACAGACTCCCGTCACAAAAGCTAAAACACTGGTGTGCTTTGAGCTCAACAAAAGTTTCCTAGCTTTTTTAAATCCTTGGGGACTGTGAACAGTAAAACCAATCTCAATAAATTCTGACTAACCAGCTAAATCAATGTTTTATTTCATTGTATTGTGCCAAATGACCAGGTTTTCACATAGGAAAACTGCAGAAAACCAGAATCCTTCTTTCCAAACAACAAAAAATTCAAAAAGATGGAGAGGCCGGGGTAGGAAACGTGGCCTCGTGGCCTTGTTACAAATGAGTCTTCCTTCAGGCTTCCTGCTGCACTGGGGGGAAGACACATCTGGCACTGAGCTCATATCGAATGTATTTCTCTCAACACACTGGCACCACTATGTAGCTCATCATTTACCTGTTAAGAAGCATAAATGAGGGAGAGTCCACCCACAAGAGGACAGAGCACCGCAGAAGTAATTGCTCATGTATTATCAACAGCAAAAGTACACACTGTATTTTTTTATTCCAGCTTGAAACAGAATGAGCGAGACCAGCGTGGCACGGTGCGAGGCATCCAGAATAGGCATGCGTATGGCTGAGCATCCCTAACAGCAATAGCTATGCACCACCCAGATCTTGCCTAGTTTGATATTTGAATCTATTTTGAATTTTGAATGATTTTATTTTTTATTTTTTTAACTTGTGAATTTGTTCCCTATGACTGCACCTTTCTAGTGGCTCTCTACTTATTTAATGTATGTTCATAATTGTTTTTAAAATTTTGGCTACTTTATTCAAAATCTTTTCAATTTAGGCTTAATTGTCAAAAAAGCTAGTATATTTGCACTTAAAACACTCCTCATGCAGGCATAAGCAATACTTATCTGTGTAATTACTATGCTTAAGGCTTTAATTGCCCATTTTGCATCTTTGAGTCTCTGTTGTATTGTGAAGTTTCAGAAAGGAAGATTGGGAATATTGTCCCTCATTTCTACATTACTCTCATAACTATGGATGAACTAGTCAAATCATAAGCTGCTTCTAAAACTGCTTTGCATTTATATGGTATTTTTCACCTGAAAGTACATTACAGCAGTATTAGATTTTTTCCTAATTTTATAAGCTGGGAAGCTAATATCAGAAGGCAAATGAGGTATCCAGTGTCGCACAGTCACACGGGGAAGCCATGCCTAGGGCACAAATCATTTCTCCCCGCTAGCATCTGAGAACATCTTGTAGCACTGCATCTCGCATGTACCTCCACTTTCTTTCTAATTTAAGCTATCTATCTCTAACACTGAACTAGTAGCAGTTTGCTAATATGAATTATTCTGTGTACAGTGGAGACCTAAATAGGATGCATGGATTGCACGTAGCATCACCCTTTGCAGATGCTCGCAGAACTGACCTCCAGTGTTTATACGTCACCGATTGGCAGCTCTCTGGTGTGAATTCTGAACTCATGTATGTTTGTGGTTTTCCCTTCACTGAATTCATTTAACAAAGTGGATAAGTTTCCCCCGTTGCAGTCCATGGCCAGTGCCAGACTATTTCCTTGTCCCGTTGCTGGATGCAGCAGCAGAAGGTGAAGGTCGTCTAACTGGAGCACGAATCATTAAGTAATTACATTACTTGCTGTGTGACATTCCTAGCTCTGATGGTATTTGTTGCTGAGATATAAAGCCACAGTCTCATTAATAGAGTACAATTCATATACCAGTACAGCACATCACTAAACTAAAAAAAGCCCTGAAATCAACCCCAAAACCTATGAAACCAACATCAAAAGATCTTCACTGATGAGCTGTGGAGTAATGACCAGAATAATGAGTCTTTCCTCTTACCCTCACCTTACAAATGAGATAATTTAGGGTTCAGTTCTTTCCTGCCTTGTGCATTTATAGTGATATACGTGGAGGAAACTGCCAAATCTGAACTCTTCCTTCATATCACTTTGTCACACATAGCTGGTAGCTGAAGATGCCTGGTGACACCCATTCCAGTCTCCTGTGAGGCAAACTGTGGTTTGGTTTATAGCAGGAAGTAAGGGAATGACCTCAAACCCCGTCTCTCTTGTAGGGTGCTTTTCCATGCAGAAGACAATTCCTCCAAAAGACATTAAAACTGGCTTGCTGGTACCCAGCTCGCTCTCAGGTTTCTCCACGTGTGCTTTAAATACCCTTTTCATAACTAGAAACCTTTTCAGGAATTCAGATATTCTTCCAGCTAGTTCTAAGGCTGTAATTTTGGTGCGCTGTACGTTACAGCTGAGAAAGTGAAACAAAAGATGTTCTTTCAAGCGGTGACATAATTCAAGCTAATTGGAGGCTACTTAAAATTTTCTTCCTGTTTTTAAGGGCCATTGACTTACCCTCCTGAGGAATGATGCGAAGAGTTACACTGAGACCTGCATCTTTAATTAGCTTCACAATATCTGCATGAGGCATGTTAATAATAGACTGGCCATTCACAGCTAAGATCCGGTCTCCAACTTTAAGTTTTGCACAGCGATCCGCAGGGCTTCCATCAATTATCCGCCCTATTTTATGGGGTACAGCTAGAAAAGGAACAATAGCTACAGTTAACATATGCTGCAACAAGTGGTGATGCTCACAAGCAAAAGAAAATGAGTTCATTTGGAAGAAAGTTCTATACAAATTAGAAATCAGCTTGTGTATAAACATACAAGAAGATAAATTCTTATACATTGTCATTTACATTAATACAGTACAGATTTCACTACAGATTCAGAATCCAGATATGCATATATACACGGCACATACATATGAAGTCCAAAATCAGTTTATGGTTCAGCTAGTTTGCAAACGTGGCACGTAACAAGATAATAAAGAGATCAAGAGAACAATAAGGCATTAAAACAATGAAGGGGATAAATTTGCACAATAAGTAGTAGTCATAAATTGCCTCCCACCTCCTAGTTTACAGAATTCCTTTATTTGTATGTTGCAATAGGGGCACTACAAACATGATTTATTTTATATACAAATAGATGTTATTACTGCAAATGTTCAGGGTTCACTAAATTGTTCTCCTCCTCCATTCAAATATGTTAATTTATAAATAGAAATAATCTGAAGATTTATTGAGATGTTCAGCTTTCTAATTAGATACACGCCGGCATGAATTTACAGTTAATTATGAGTGCATAGACGCATTTACTACATCAAATAGCCATCCCCCCCCGCCCCGCATTCTCAAAGCATTTCAGATCAACTTTGCTTCTCCTTTTACTCTTCTGCATGGTTCTCCACCTTTCTGTGCACTCCAGCCATTCTCTTGTTCTGTCTTTTCCCTCATTTTCCACTGAATTTTCTAAATATCACCCTTGATCTTTCTCCCAGTGTTTCTTCCCTGCTCTACTCTCTTTTTTAACTAAATGCATATACTATAGCTGACTCTTGTCTCCACCTAGGCTCCCCAAAGAACGTGATATTTTCCTTTCTCTCTGCTACTCATAAATATGTTTATCAAATAAATTTGACTATATAATCTATTAATATCCTAATGCCGTCCGGGTATCCCTCACCGATCCCACACTTCAGTCTTGGCAAACCTAGCACAAAGCTGCTCAGCCTCACTAGCCACCTGCAACTGGTGTTTAAAAACAGTTGTGTTTCTTTTTCTTAAAATAATATATCCTTAACATTCTAATATCTAAACGGAACGTGGAAAAGGCGAAAGAAAAGATTAATGAAACATTTTCTTGGGAAATATCTAGGCTATCAATGCTCTAGCAGGAGATGTTTTCAGAATACTCCATCTCTGCAGAACAAATTTCTCAGCCCTCTGATAAACATTCCCCGAAGGTGATGGTAACAAACACAGATTGCACATCTCATGCAAAGTCACCATACACATAACTCAAAGTGACTTTTGTTTCTGGATGTAAGTGTTGTTTACAGTGTTAAAAATTAATTTTCTGAGAACTAAAAATATAAGTGAGTACTCTGAAGTGCAAGCCATAATCAAACTGCATGCTGCTTTACCACTACAGGTCAGGCAAGGATATACATTAAGTTATGGCTTTAGTACTACGAACACAACTAGTGTACTTCAGAAATGTCTTGCTGCTTAGGAAATAAGCACCTAATTTATGTCACAATGTCTAAACCTTTCTATGCTTTAAAATATACTAAATATGAATAGCCACACTTTGTACAAAACTTGCATTTATTAATTGCCCTCTATGCAGATGCATAACTGCAGCGCATGCACATCAGTAAGTAAACAAGTAAAAGAGTGACACTGAAACAATTGACATTCACACAGAGCCTTTCTCATCAAATACATTCTTAAAGCATCATCAAGAATCATTTAAGCTAAGACTAAACTGTGCCTGTTTCTGGTATATTTAATACAAGATCTGTCTGAGATTACCACATCTGTACTCTCAGACTCTGATCCCAGTGGAGATCTGAAAGTGAGACTGCCTTATACGAAAAAGCAAAAAATTTAGCAGGAAGGAAGAAGGGGAAGTATTATGGCCAAGATGCTGTAATTAAAATTCCCATGCTTGCCATTGCTAACCCTAAAGAAGATGGTTTTGCTAGCTTAAATAATTAGTTGGTAGGTGGAAAATCTTAATAATTTGCCAGAACAATTTTTGTTGGACTTCTTGCACCTGACAAGAGAATAGAGCTGATGTCTGCATGTTTGAAATGTCTGCTAAAATCAAACCTGGAAGTCGGAGAGCCATTAGAGTCCAATTCTGCTCCAAATCCTGAGAAAAGGGAAGGGAGCGAGAAAGAGGAGGAACTTTGTATTCCTTTTTCCTTCCTTTTAAGCCTAACGGCCTTTACCTTCCTGATAAAGGTATCTACTCCAAATGTTTTGGTATCACCTCCCTCCCTTCATCCTGCCGTGCTATGGAAGGATCAACAGACCTTCAGAGCAAAGCTTGTGTCTGCCAAGGCACCTTTTCTACTGCATTTTGGGTTCTGAGGATTTAATGCTCCTCTTCTGAGGCTGTGTCACAGAATCACAGAATGGCAAGGGTTGGAAGGGACCTCGGGAGATCATCCAGTCCAACCCTCCTGCTAAAGGAGGTTCACTCAGAGCAGGTTGCACAGGACATTGTCCAGGTGGGCTTTGAATATCTCCAGAGAAGGAGACTCCACAACCCCCCTTGGCAGCCTGTTCCAGTGCTCTGTCACCCTCAAAGTAAAGAAGCTCTTCGGCATATTCAACTGAAACCTCTTATGCTTCAGTTTGTGCCCATTGCCCCCTGTCCTGTGTTGGCACAGAGTGTTGTCATATGATCTTGCTGCAGAGTGGGATGTGGAACGCTTTTCCAGAAGGAATCTGAATCTCTGCCAGAGTCTGCAAAGGAGACCACTGGCATGCCGTATCAAGGTTTTATGGGCAAATCCAGTGAATTATTAATGAAACTCACAGCCATTCAGCAGAAGCTGGTTTCTGTGCATTTCTAGATCATCTGAGGAGAGTTTATCTCCTGGTTCCTTCTCTCCCAGTCACATCCCAAGGCGTTTCTGGTCTCTGCTTGCTCTCCCCAGTGGAGCTCTGCCTGAGTTGCCTCCTAAGCCACAATATCCTGGCCACGATGGTCCCTGCTGCTGCCTTGGGAGGGGAGGATTTATTTAAGGATTTATTTACAAACATGAGTACTTCTATGGGATGCAGCTTATCTGATATACAGGTTGTTCATGGAAATACGAACATGTTAGAACATGTTAGAAAACTTAATTTTTAAGAGCCTTTGGTAGTAAAATACTTATTTTGAAGGGATAAGGAGATACTCCCATAGGGGATTAATTAGGTAAAAATTAAGGAACAAAGGTAGAAATGAACTGTGAATTTCCATAATGGAGAATTTTTGTCGTTCAGAATGGTCACATCTAAAACAGGCGTGGAAGAGCTGTAAAACTGTCAGTACCCAGTGGGCTGAGTGAAGTGGCAGACAAGATCTCATGAAAAGAAATGCGAGATGATGCATATGGGGAAAAAATAACCCTGCCTAAGCTTAAGCAGGGATGGGCCTTAAGTTAATTATTACCACTCAGGAGCTCTTGAAATAAGTGTGCCTACTTCTCTAAAAACGTAAACTTAGTAAAACAGTAAATAGAATTTTAAGATCTAGGAAAAGAATAGCAAATCAAACTGTTGCTAGTTACAACTGTGCACCTAGAGTCTGAGCATTGCTGATAGTTTCAGTATCCCCACTCAAAAATCATAACACTGTGCTAGCAAAGATGCAGAGAAAGGCAGCATCGCGGTCAGAAACAGAGAACAGCCTCTGTTCAGGAGTAGTCCATGAGCTACAGCTGCAGCTTGGAGAAGAGAAGGTGGGGCAACCTTCTGGAGGGCCAGCAGAATGAAAGGATTCAAAAAGGGATTAGACAGATTCACAGGGGTGGATCCACTGCTGATTAAATCAGAAAGTCATGGTTGTGGGAGCTGAGGAGGTGCCTGGGGAAGGTCTCTGTCTGCTGTAGGTGCTGTCCTCTGCCACTGGTCAGGGCCAGGGACAGCGTGGAGCTCCGCAGCTCTTTGATCGCTCCCAGCATCACAGGTCTCTTCTCAGGAAGAAACCTCCCATGTTTGGCATTTAATTACGGTTTTCTTAACACATCATATTTTTTCTTAAATTGCATCTTCAGTGATTTATTTCTATCTAAGCGGAGCCTTTTAAAGGAAGTCCCATATCACTTAACTGATGATAAATGATTCCACTCCCCCTTAAAAATTTTTACTAATCTATTCACACCTCTTTTAAGAATTCGCCACAAGCTGTTCTCCAAACATATGTACATTTTGAACAGTGGCAGCACATGCCTGGATTACACTCTGCAGAGAATTTGATCCACTTATTTCAAAACACAGGGTTACCTGAGCAGCATTTAATAGTAGCAGGCTATACAGAAACACCTGGATTAGTGTTTTTTTTTTTTCAGGAATCCCATTATTCATGCCAAGAGCAAGCACAGAAAACAAGGTGCCCCTTTGCAGGACAATCCATTTTTTAGTTCTCTCAGACTACACAATGGATGAGACTGCAAGGGAGAAATATTATGGTAAATGGGGAATTTATGCAGATTTTTTTAGTGCTTGAAAATATGGGAAATTAGTGAGATACAGTTTATATGTATGTGAAACATACAGTCCTTCAAAACAGATATATGGATTTTTTTTCTCTCATACTATCAAGTCATCCAAAATGTGATACATAAGAGTGATATATATGGATGTCTGCCTCAAGAAAAAAAATCCTGCCAAGGCAGCAGTCATAATCCAGGATCCAAAAAAATCTAGCCAAGAACAGCAATGCCACAGAAGCATTTCCTAACAACGGATCTTACGATAGGATCTAATTTTTCTGCAGTGTGTTTGATGAAAAAATTGTGATTTCAGGGAGATTTGAATCCTGAGAGCACTAAAACTTCTAAGATATTTGAAGCTATCAACCTCTTCCCCTAAATCTCCCTCAGAGATTTACAGCATTTATGTCAGGAACACAAACTGACCCAGCACTGGCACCTAGCAGCTGATGCTTTCCCAGAAGGTAGTTAATTGTGCAAT